TTAGTGACTTTCATTAAATGTGTCTGTAGTGCAATTCACTTACACCTTCTTGATGCAGTAAAACCCCTTCTTTGGGACATCCCTAGTAAGGGGCGGAGGCTGGTATCGATCTCGGGAGAGGGAAGCAAAAAATGACAACGGAATAAAATCTAAGAATGCGGAACTAAATCTCTATTCCATTAAAAACCTACTGGTCATTTTAGTATGTTAACTCAATTAATTGAACTTCTGTTTGCTGCCATGGGGGTGTGTTCATACCCCTAGCCTACCCCCATGACATCCCTATTAAGGGGGACACTTTTTTGTCTCGAAAGTGTACCTTTAAAAGGGGTTCTACTGTATTATTTTCTTTTACAATAACAACAAGTAGCATGGATTTTAAGCTCACATTAGTGACTAGTTTGGCTTGTCTTTACCGCAATTGATGTTTTTGGTGAAATATCCTCAGTGAGTCTGGTATGACTGTTGTAGGTACATTTGTAGGAGAAATAATTATTGTATAATAGATCATCTATATGAAATAAATATTTTAATTTATGTTTTGAAGGAAATAAATGTTATTTTTTAATTGAATTCAAAATTCAACAAATCTGGCAGAATTCGTCATTTAGTGGTAAAGAGCAACCAGTTTCCTATGCCATCAGTTATTTAACAGTTTTTGATTTTGACAATAAATATTACTCTGATGTAATATTTGGGGTTTTTTATTCAAGATTTTAAAATCATAATTATAGATTCATAACAAATGCTTATAACAATTATCTCTTATCTTCAAACTTAGTATTTGAAATTTGTTTCTTGTAGCTTTGGGCAGACGGCAGTGTTCTTACTTGGCGGACCTACAAAGAGTACTAAACCGGTCGCAATGTTTGTTAACAGTGGAGATGTAGTTGTAATGACTGGACCAGCACGCCTAGCATATCATGCGATCCCTCGAATCATGCCAGCCTGTGAGGCAGTAATAGAGGAATCCTTCGCTCTACAAGAGCAATCTGAGCATGCTCATACATCCATATGTCACCCACATTTGCAATCGCTTGATGATGATGAAATGTGTGATCCCAATCCACCAAAGAAAATATTTAAATCTGACACAGAACCATGTGTCTCTGACTCTAAACCAGCTGTCTTAAAACGTACTAGTGCAGTCGAACCAGAAGTGGAAGAAAACAGAACAGAAGAGGTAGCTCAACAAAATAAATACTTAACTACAGTAGAAAAATCAAGCTCAAATGTTGACTGTCTTGTTGACTCTTGTAAAAGCAATGAAAATCTTACATTTGACATTCAAGGAGAGATGGATAAATTGAGTACAGAACTTTCCTGGCAACCATATGCAGACTATTTGAAAATTAGCCGTATTAATATGAATGTGCGGCAGGTTTTGCCAAAGGGAAAAATTTTTACAAACATGTAATGACATGCTCAATCCAGGTAGAATTAGCAGGGCTGTAGTCAACATGACCCTTGTCTGCAATTTCCATAGATTTCTATATTTTAATTTTAGAGCTGAGCATTTGGCCAGTGTTTATTGTTCATGCCTCTTGTGCTGTAGATCCCAGTTAAATCCGGCTAACATAAAATGAAATCTAAATAAACTCAGGGACAGCCAGTTATTCATCTCATGAATTTAATGGTTTTAAGACCTACTGCAATTTCAAGAAAACGGCTGTGAGAAGCCATGTCAAAACATCTAAAATCCAAAACATCTCATGGCCCTCAAGTGCACCCAAACCCCTGTTCCTCAATGCCAAGGTCCTGCATTACCCACAGTTTTGGCTGG